CAGGTGCCGACAGAAAAAGCCTATCAATATTGCTGACCGTTCCCTGCGCTTTGCAGTGGTGAGTGCGTTGGGAAGTCTCGATTCCGACCATCCTCTTCAAAACAACTTTCCATTGTCCCGAAGATCTAAACTCCGACGAAGTATGGGGAAGCAAGAGGGAGATCATATGAGTTTAGCGCTTGGGGGAGCTCGTCAGCAAAGTTGAAGTCGCCACCTACGAACACGAAGACCTCCATGGGGTCCTGGGAGGCTGTATCTAAGTCCTCGGAGATCTGATCTATGACCCAGCTCCGCTCCAAAACCGTCAACCCGTGACTGTGAATGTTGCAGTGGGAGACCTGAACACCTTCTGGGGACAAAACACGAACATTCAACACACGGCCCTGTACTAGAGTTCTAGCGGAAACTGCAGGTCTACGTTCCTCCGAGTGGGTAGAGGAGAACGAAGGGGGGAACGTGACCACGCCACCAGCAGCATTCTCGCCGTGCTCTAGGAACGACGCAAACGCCTCGGCGGGCATGTGGAGGTGGAAGAGGAAATCCCTGAGCTCAGCGAGAGGTCCCGTGGGTCTCCTGGATACCGAGAATCATCCCCTTGCCCAGGAGCTTTTCGAGGTACCTGAACTCCTGCGTCCGAACTCGAATTTTGCGGTGGAATAAGGCCTGGCCATTCCACGTCCCCACTGAGATCGGAGAAGGAGCTGCATCACTGCCGCTCCACGCGGCAAAGAGTGGGTTAAACCCGCCACTCAACTGGCGCTGGGGTCGGGGTGAGGCTCTCCAGCTTCTCACGGACTGTCTCACGGTCGATCCCAAAGAACGCGAGGTTGGCCTCTGCGAACTCGAAGATGGGCTTTGATCCCATACCTGCCCTCGGAGTAACCCGCACCCATGGCTTCCACTGTGTGGATACCTCCCCCAACTGCTTATTAATATGATAGTGGTGGTCTGGGTAGAGGTTGACCAACGTCGTCTTGATCTTCTTCGTGGGAATCTCGCGCTGCACCTGGCACGGGGACTTGTCCGTCGAGATGTACACTTCTGCCCGCGTGCCGTTGACATCATTGGCAAAGAATATCCCCCACTGAGCTGCTGCAATCTTGAAACTGCCGAGAATCTGATTGATCTTCCTACTCGCATATGGTGCACTGCCAGATACACGTACCACGAAGCGCTTCGCCGCGGGGTCACTCTCGATGACGATCTCTGAGAGCTGCATGTTGTTCTTCTCCAGTATGGAGCCGACGACGCTCTTGACCAACTCGTCGCGGCTGATGATAATCTTAGACCGGCATATGAGCACACAGGGGCCCACCTTGCGGTCGAATGATGTATCATCCTCCGTGGGTGTCGGCGGCACTTCATTTTGCATGATACCCAGAATAGCTTCCAATCTTTCAACTTTCAATTGCAACGTCTGCATCTTCTGCTCCGTGCTGCGCTGCCTCTTCTCAACATTACTGAGTCTCTGCTCGACCTGTTTGCTAAGAGCCGTACAGGAGGCATGAACTGTTGTCACACATTCTCCGACCGACTTCTGAAGAGCACTGATGGTTGCCATGAGCTGGTCACGCGTGGAGTCCACATATGAACGTAAGTCCTCCTCCTCCTCCTCCACGTCAAGAAATACTGCCTCTCCTCCTTCTCCAGGGGAGCGGCTTCGGTCTCCATCCTCTCGTTCTGTGTGCGGGCGGCCGTTGCGCCAACCTCCACGAGGACGAATAGGAGTAGCAGTGCCACCTGTCGCACAACGCCGTGCCTCACTCCTGTCTCTCTGCTCCTGCGACGGGAACGCTGGACAGGCATCAAGTTCAGCAAGTGTTGCCTGTGCAGCCGCAATCCGAACATCCATTGCTTCGCACGTCTGTCTGACAGACTTGCACCCGAACGCAAAGAGGAGCCCGAGGGAGAGCTTACAATACACAGAGTAATGGGTGTCTGCAAAAGAGATGCGGAGACCCTTCTCCTGGGGCAACTCTCCAGGGTCCCACTCGCGCGCGGCGGGCCAGGCCACTTGAGACGGGGGGTCGAGTTCCCGATATGGCCTTGAGCCAAAATGGCTACGGACCCCCCCCCACCGTGGCCTCCTCCTCCTCATCCTCCTCCTCCGTCTCCTCCTCCTCCTCCTCCCATGTCCTCCTCCTCCTCCTCCTCCTCCTCCTCCTCCTCCTCCTCCTCCCTCCTCTTCCTCCTCCTCCTCCTCCTCCTCCCTCGTCCCTCGTCCTCCCTCTTGCTCATCCTCCTCCTCCTCCTGCTCCTCCTCCTCCTCCTCCTCTCCCCCACCTCCTCCTCCTCCTCCCCTCCTCGTTCTCATCCTCCTCCTCCTTCTCCTCCTCCTCCTCCTCCTCCTCCTCATCCTCCTCCTCCTCCTCCGCCTCCTCCTCCTCCGCCTCCCCCTCTGAACCCCACCGTGGTGGCTTTACCCTAACAGCATGTTTTGCTAGAGTTCTCTAGCGATGGAAAAATAGGCTTCTCGCCGAAGCGGAGGACCCAAGAGATGCTGGCGCTGCAATTTCCCGGATACCGTTTAGTGACAGAGGTTTCTATAGGAGGTGCTACAGGACCATTCAAAAAGTCCCACAAGGGGGGCGGGAAGCACGAGGATGTCAGGTTTGGCAGCCGCTTCGCCAACCTCCAAATGGATTCAGTAATCTTGCTCGCGCCTCAATGTCGGCTCTACCTTTGTTCCAGACGGCCACGACCCCTTGTACAAAAAACGCACGAATGTGCACATGGCCGTGCTACCACCCCTTGTCCCGACTGCATATGTTGTTTCCCAAGGCTTCCCGGCCGTGCTTCTCCTGCTCCTCGACCCGCCTCTTGACCCAGGCTGCTGCTCTAGGGTGCTTTGCTGGGGAATGTTCTCAACGCGAGGAGGTCTGGGTACTGAGCACATGGAAAACATCAGACCTCTGGGCCTCAGGGGCATCGACGGTCGAGGTTCTGCAATCAGCCTCGAGCTTAGCCCGATCCCGAAGACTGGCAAGCCTGATGGCGATAACCAACCTTGGCATGCGCCCTCAGAAGCTGAGGGAACCTTCGAGATCGGCATCGCGATCAGGTGATGCCAATCATGGAGGTACGTACGGATGTGTCTCTCGCTTGCAACTCTCGAGCGCCCGTTCTCGGACCCCTCCCAGCCCCATCAGTGAGGGCCAACGATAGGGGGGACTGGCACAGGGGGAGTGCATCGACCTGGAATCGGCGATTCATCGTCGATCTATCGGCGGTAGGCCCCCGATAGCGAAACCGCACCTTCTTGGGCGGGATGGGGCCATCAAGCATCTATCCGGGGAAACCGAAAGGCACCGATACCGCTACTTCTCGGACCGCTCCCAGGGTGCGCCCTGACTGGATTATTTTCGAAGCGAATCAAGCGCTGGCGACTAGGGCCCAAGGGAGGCCCCAAAAGGAGAAAACCGAGGAAGAGGTAGCGGTAGGTCGGGCATGCCCCACTACAGGCGGATTGTGGACAAAATATGAAACATTCCCCCAAAAAAAGTGTTTAAACAATCCGCCGATCCAGCGTGTGAGTTTCTGAGAGCGCGGGCTTGAGCTTGCTCGAGCTTCGCTCTGGCGAGGGAGGGGGAGGGAGGGCTGACGCGGGCTGACGTGGGCTGACGCGTTTCGGTGCTCGGGGGGGGTGCTCGGAAGGGGAGCGGGCTTCGCTCTGGCGAATGGGAGGGGAGGGGGGGGGGGGGAGGGGGGGGGGCCGCGTTTCGGTGCTGTTCGGGGGAGGTGCTGGGGGCGGGAGGGGGTCGCTCTGGCGAGGGGGTGAGGGGGTGGGGGGGGGGGGGGCTGACGCGGCTGACGTGGCTGACGTGAGCTACGCGTTTCGATGCTCCGGGAGGGGGGGTGCTCGGAAGGGAAAGGGGGGGAGTGCTCGGGCGATGGGGGGGGGGGGGCGGAACGGGCTGACGTGGGCTGGACGCGTTTCGGTGCTCGGAGGGAGGGGCGTGCTCGGGGGGGGGGGGGGACGGGCTCTGGCGGCGAGGGGGGGAGGGCTGACGCTGGCTGGCGTGGGCTGACGTGGGCTGACGCGTTTCGGTGCTCGGGGGGAGGGCGAGCTCGGGGGGGGGCTCTGGCGGCGAGAGGGGGGAGGGGCTGACGCGGGCTGACGTGGAGCTTGGGCTAACGTGGGCTGACGCGTTTCGGGCTTCGGGGGGGGGGGGGGGGCGGGGTGCTCGGGGGAAGGGGGGGGCTTCGCTTTGGCGAGGGAGAGGGGGGGGGGGGGCGTTTCGGTGCTCGGGGGGGAGGTGCTGAATCGTGACGGCCGCGCAGCGTGCGGGGGTAAGGCTGGTCCCCCCTCCGCTGGCACCTCACACACACACACACACACACACACACACACACACAGGCAACACAACACAACACACCACACCACAACACAACACAACACAACACAACACAACACAACACAACACAACACAACACAACACAACACAACACAACACAACACAACACAACGCAACGCAACGCAACACAGCACAGCACAGCACAACACAACACAACACAACACAAACACGCGCGCGCGGGGTGGAGGAGGAGGAGGTGGAGGAGGAGGAAGAGGAGGAGGAAGAGGAGGAGAAGGGAGAGGAGAAGGAGGAGAAAGAGGAGGAGGAGGAGGAGGAGGAGGAGGAGGAGCACGGGGTTATGGGGGGGGAGGCGGAGGAAGGACACAGAAAGGAGGAGGAGGAGGCGGAGGACGGGGAAGGAGGAGGAGGACGGAGAAGGTGGAGGAGGAAAGGGAGAAGGAGGAGGAGGAGGAGGAGCAGGAGGAGGAGCAGGAGGAGGAGGACGAGGAGGCGGAGGAGGGGGAAGAGGAGGAGGAGGAGGAGGGTGATGGAGGACGGCAGGAGCGACGAGCGACGAAGAGGCGGTGGAAGATGCGGAGGAGGGGAGGAGGATGAGCGAGAAGGAGAGGCGAGTAGCGAGGGCCGAGCGGGGAGGGCGCACGCTAGAAGCCGCGCTGGTTTGGAAGGCCCCCCCCCCCCTTGCGC